TTTTATTTATTTGACAGAGAGAGCACAAGCAGAGGGAGAGAGAGGGAGAAGCAGGTTCCCCGCCGAGCAAGGAGCCCGATGTGGGACTCGATCCCTGGACTCTGGGATCATGGCCTGGGCCGAAGGCAGCCGCTTAACCGACTGAGCCACCCAGGCGTCCCTAGACTCATGTTTATATTAACTTCTTAGCTGTCACCAGGGCTGAGTGCCTTGGGACAGAAGATGAGTCACAAGTCAGAGAGACAGCACATGCTTCCATCTCTGTACCGAGATGATGTCTCTCCCCTTCCATCTGAAATCCAATCCCCCACCCACTGCCAGCCCTGGTTCTCCAGTGACCCTCACCCAGGAAGAAAGCCGATGCTAAACACATTCATATTAAAAGTCTTTGCAGTTCTCAGCCCAGCCACCTGCACACAGTAGGTGCACAACAAATGTTTTTGAACTAAAGCTGAGTGAGTACAGACAGGTGCCCGCATTTCTCTGGTTGCCTTGCTGGGAGTGGAGGCTCTAACCCATGCTTTCTCATGCACCATCCTTCAGTAGGAAAGGAAAGCTTACTAAATGATCACATCTCGAAAAAATAGCTCTTAAGAACATACAACTGTCTTTGAAGTCAACTGTGCTGACTGATTAGCTTTGTTTTTTCGAGCGGGTTTCTAATAATAAGGGAAGAGGACTTAGCAACACTGAGAGCCGAGCTGCTTTGCATGCCGTTCCAGTTGTCCTCATGGCCTGTTTACATCTGTCCTGGCCAGACTGTCTCGCTGGCTCTGGAAGCCAGACTTGGCCCCCTCTCTGTGGATGATACACAGCTGGAGGCAGAAGAGCAGAGTGGATGAGGGGCATGGGATTAGAAGTCAGCTAATTCCGGCCTCCAGTCCTGCTGTAGTCACTTACTGACGGAGGATCTCAGGTAGGAGACTTCACCTTCTGGGCCCATCCCCTCATCTGCAAAGCGGGAATAATGATAGTACCTGCCACATGGTTACTGAGAGGATCGAAGAAGATAGTGGGTGAGGCCAAGTCCTTCACATAGGTTAGCTGTTACTTTTATTCCTCCAATCCAGATCCTCTCCTGACATCTAGGCATTTTAGCCCTTTTCCTTCGGAGTCTGGGTGTTTTATCCTTCCATCCACCAATCCCATTTGGCCCAGATATACCATAAGACAAAGATAGGGGCACCTGGGTGGCTCAGTTGGTTGAGCATCCAACTCTTGATTTCTTGATTTCAGCTCAGGTGATGATCTCAGGGTCGTGAGATGGAGCCCTGTGTCGGGCTCTGTGCTGGGTGTGGAGCCAGGGAGGGATTCTCTCTCTCCCTCTCCCTCTGCACCGCCCCCCCTCACTCACACATGCGCGCTCTCTCTCTCTCTAAAACAAAACAAAACAAAACAAAAAAACACACAGAATAAGGAAAGACCATTCTCTTTTACTTGCTACCAGATTTATTTAGGTAATTTTTTTTCTGTCATTTTTCATAAATGTCCCTGAAAATCTGAATTTACTGAACAATGGAAACTTTTTGGAAAAATCCACATGAAAGCAGGATGCTCCCTCAAGCCTAGGGTCCTGTGTACCCACTCTTGACCTGCTGGGTAGGAACAGCTCTGAAGGATGGCTTCTTCCCCCTCCCGTCCCAGGCCACCAGGCAGCTCCCTCAGTCCCTGGTCACTGCTCTCAGCTCCTCCTTTACCTTCCGAAAAGCACAGGAGCCGGCCTGCTGCCATGGGAGCTCATTTTTCTCCAGCGCATGCTCTCATCCTGACTATCTCCCAGGGCCAAATCCATGGCGTTGGGGGCGGGGGGGCAGGGTCAGAGGGAGATGGGAAAGGAGGGCAGTTGGGTAAGATCGAGAGCTGGGCTTGGGTGAGCACGTCCTTGGGAAGTCTGGGTGCCTGCTCCGCCCAGCTGCATCAGCCCCCAGGCCCCCACTCCCCGGTCCTGCCTGACTCGAGCTAGGAACTGCCCGGTCATTCAGCTGCTGGCTCCAAAGCCCTCCTGGAGTCCACTCCCTGTTCTCTATGTCGGACAGCTCCCGCGTCTGCCCCCCTCCTCATTCTTCTTCAGCTTCATGCTGCCCTCCTGCCTCCAAGGGTCCCAGCCCCCAGTCAGCCGTCTCAGCAGCCCGTGAAAGTCAGCCTGGAATCCAGATGATGAGAAGTAGTAGACAAAGGGGTCGACACAGGAATTCAGGATGCTAAGAAGCAGCACATAAGTTCTCCAGGCCGGGCTTTCACCCTGGACGAAGCCCACGACATGAGACACGTTGTAGGGCCCAAAGCAGACGAGGAAGTTGAGCAGAGTGGCTGCCACAAGCCCAACCACCCTCCTCCACCTCCGGTGGCTGGCTCCCCTGCTGAGCACCCATACCAGGTGGGCATAGCAGTAGCTGGTGATGAGCAGGGGCACCCCAAAAAGGACCACAGCCATCTCCAGCCTGATGGGCAGGAGAACAGTCAGCTGGTTGTCCTGGAATTCCAGGTAGCAGGTGCTATTGATAGTCTGGCTGTAGGAGGAGTTCGCTGAGAATTCCATGATGTAGACCACGCTGCAGTGAGCGCTGGCTAGGAGCCAGCAGGCCCCGCTGACCAGGCTGGCCTGTCCAGGCCTGGGCCGGGCCTTGTACCATAGCGGATAGGCCACACTCAGGAAGCGCTCGATGCTTACAGCTGCCAGGAGGAGGGAGGTCAGATAGATGGTGGTGAAGAAGAGGAATCCAGAGAAGGGGCAGAAGATGAAGGGCAGGGGCCAGTGCATGTCATTGGCAGCCTCCACCATGCGGAACGGCAGGAAGAGCAGCAGGAGCAGGTCTGAGAGGGTCAGGTTGAGCAAGAGCACGTCCACAGCCAGGGGGCGCCGCCGCAGCTTGCCCACGAAGATCACCAAGGCCACCATGTTGAGGGGGAGCCCCACGAGGAAGGTGAAGAGGCACACAGAGAAGTAGAGCCAGTGATTGCCGGGGAAGAAGGATAAGTTCGGGCTTGTGCCCATGGTGATGGCCACTGGAGAAAGAGACAGCTAGATGGAGGGGGCAGTCTGGGGAGGGGGACCTTTATTCCCCATGCCAGCAGCATCTCAACCGTTGGCAGGGAACAGTCATCCCCCTCACCCCTGACCACCTCATGCCACCTGATGCTTTCTCCAGCAGGGTCAGCCTCACCCCCTTCCAAGCCCCTCATGGCCCCATGCTCACCTGCTTATTTGAGAACCCAACTGCTCTGCCCCCAGCACTTGGCCGACTCCTGCAGAACAGTGTAAGTTAGCTCTTTATCTGGCAGAACTAATAAAGACCCATGACATCATTCACTGTTGACCAATTGCACAAAAGACGCCTTTAGTTCCTTTACCAGCACCGTGCCAGTATGCAAAATGAGGAGCAAATTCCACAACTATGTGCCTTGCTCTTGGGCTGTCTCGGAGGGGATGCTCGAGCCAGCCCTGAGCCGACTTCACCTTCCCCTCCCAGATCCTCCACTTGATTTTTATCTGCTTCTCTGGGATGGCAGTCATCCAATTTGCCTTGTAAGGGCAGGAAGTCTCTGGGGTGATGGTAATAATAAGACTAATGATGACAATGACGATTTAGGGGGCGCATAATCCGTAGCAGACATTCCGCCTCTGAGGGCATCGCCGTTCTGTCCTTGGGCTTCCCCGTGGGGAAGTGACTCACTCCAGGCAACACAGCTCATTAAGAATCACCACCAGGGTTCAAACCCCAGTTCTGTCCGACTTCAGAGATTATGGATTTATTCGTTCAAATATTTATGGAGCACAGTGAGATAACCATTTTATACCTGCTGGGATGGCTATGGGCAAAAAATTGGACAATGCCAAATGGTGGGTGGGAGGTGAAGGAATGGGACTCCTCTCATATGTTGCTGGTAAGAATATAAAATGGTAGAGTGACTTTGGAAAGTAGTTTCTTAAAACAGTTAATATCAATTTACCATGTGATCCAGCTCCACCATAGGTATCTACTTCAGCAATGTTCATAATAGCATTATTCATAATAGCCAAAAAGTAGGAACGCACGCCCCCGGTGGTCCATCAGCTGGTGAATGGATGGATCGTGTGGCATGTCCATACAATGGATTACTATTCGCCAGTAAAATGGAATGAAATACCTATGACTGCTAGAACCTCAAAAACATGCCAAGTGAAACAGGCCAGACATAAAAGGCCATACACTGTATGTTTCCATTTATATGAAATACCCAAAACAGGCCAATTTGTATCTACAGAAAGTAAATTACTGGTTGCCCCAGGGACTTAGGGGGATTAACTGTAAATGAGCAGGAGGGGGTCTTACTGGGCTGATGAAAATGTTCTAAACTGGATGATAGAGTTGCACACCTTAGTAAATTTGCTAAAAAGCATTGACTTGTACACTTAAAATGGGTGAATTTTATGAGATACCTATTTTATCTCAAATAAGTTGTTAAAAACAGTTTTTGCCGTCATGGGTTTGGTGGAGTGAGGTCTCGGGGGATGGAGTGGTCGGAGGGTAATAAAGCCTCAGCACAGAGGCAGAGAACCACTGGGGAAGCACTTAAGGCAAAAGAATGGCAGGTGCACAGGCTGACCTGCCGGGGGGACCTTGTAGAAGGCTTCGGGCTTAAGGGGCAGGGGTCATGAGGGTGCTGGCGGCAGATCGTGTGGGGCTTCAGGGACCCTAAGGAGGAACTAAATTCCACCCCTAGGAGCAGGCACAATTCACCAGAAGAAGTGGTCCAGCAGCAGCAGGTGCTCCCGAGCAGCGGGAGAGAGAGCGGTCCCTGGCTTTCTGGGAGGGGGGCGGTGAGGCCACTTGGGCTGGAGGTCGGCTTACCCTGAAATTCTCTGGTCTCACCACTGTGCAGGGAATAAACTTGTTTCTCGCTTCTTGGAGCCTCAGGCAAGTTACGTAACTTCTCTGGTCTGTTTTCATTTAATTATAAAACAGGAAATAACATTTTCCTTGGAGGGCTATTGTGAACATTCATTCCTGTAGCAAACATTTGTTGAGAGCCTACTATGTGCCAAGCTCCCCTCTAGGTGCTGGGAATATATCAGCAAATAAAATTCCTTGCCCTCGTAGACATTTATGCATAAAAAGAGATAGCTTGTATAAACCAGTTCGTGCACGCCAGGCATGTAGCCAGCCTTTCTGTGTCTTATGTGCTCGTGGCATTATCGTCTTTAGAGGAACAAGTCGGTTTCCTGCACCTCGCTTCATCAGAGCACGTGCCCAGATGTTTGTCTCCTCCATGGCCACTCTCCTCTACCCACTCTCTCGGGGTTCAGGGTGCCACCATTCACCTTTGCAAAGTGGACCACAAGGACAGGCGTTCACCCTGATACCCCAAGTGTTTCAAATGCCCCCTAACCCTTGGGGGTCTTGCCTTGAAGGATCGCATCCCACATCCCACCCCTTCCTTGCTGTAGAGCTTTGGAAAAATTTCTTAACCTGCGAAGATGTGATAATACTTGGTCAGGGACCGTAGCTAACTTAGGCAGTGCCTCTGTACAAATTAGGAAAAGGCACCCCCCTCCAGGTGGCAGTACCCTCCACCAGGATGCACTGCTTGAGGAGTGAGTGGTATCTTTGTTCAAATTAGGATAACATGTTCCTTCTCTGGATGGAAGCAGCCCCATGCCAGGCACATGGCTTGGCGAGCAAAGCACAGGTTAGAATTTAGTCAACGTTTGCCCCTCTGCCTGGCACGCTTGTGCAGTGAACCACCTGCCCATCTGTACAGCAGCTGCATGGCCAAATCAAAGGATTGTGTGAAATGGGACAACACTTTTAAAACGCTTGATGTGTTGACTGTCACATCTTAGAGACTCTGTATTTGTTGGTGACTATTTCTGGTGTTGTGGTGTTTTTTCTCCCTGCTGAAGCAGCTTTTCCTACCAACTTCCTGTTCACAGTTCCAATGCTGCCCTCTTGTGAGTTCCACCTGGTATAACAGCATCAATATCTTACCTCCTGCCTCTTCTCTTACTCAGAAATTAAACTGTTCTTTCCTAGGAAACATTTTGGGAGTAGCATCCCCCAAAGTGTATCATCAGAGTGGCATCTCCTCTAGATTGGAAGAAAACTTCCATAGCCCTGGCAGGTGGGGCAGGAGGAGAAGAGGGACAGGCAGAGGTGGGGAGTCGTGCTGATGCCTACAGAGGCAAGCTTACCTTCCTTCTGTGACCTAGCCCCTGGCCTCTGTTCTTCCCTCCAGCTGGGATGCAGTCTTCTGCCAGGCTCAGTTCTTTCCATAAGCAGGTCCAAGGATGCTCCCAGGCCAGGCTGCCCTGCAGGTCCTTTGGCTCCGGGCTCCAGGGGCCCGGACAAGCAGCCAGGCTCTCCTGCTCCATGCCCCTTCTTCCCAGCAGTGGCTACTACTTCTGGGATGTCCCTCCTTTTGTTCTTGCCACACTTGTTACCCGCCCAGCACCCCCTCCCAAGTAGCCAGTCACCAGCGGGTTGAGCACCACACTCCAAGCCCCTGTGATGAGCCCCAGTTTCCGCCAGTAGCCTCCCATGTTGGGGTGCAGGAAGCCAGCCACGTTGGAGGCGTTGTAAGGTCCTAAGCAGAGCAGCAGCGTGAGCAGAGCCCCGCCGGCCACCCAGGCTGCCCTTAGCTTCCGTCTGTGGCTCAGGCCTGAGCGGACCAGTGCCCGGAGGCAGCCCACGTAGCAGAAGGCTGTAATGCTCAGGGGCAGGAAGAAGAGCAGGAGAGAGAGGCTGAGGCGAGCAGGGCCCGCTGAGGCTGGGTCCCAGGCCTCCAGGCAGACTGGAGAGCCGTTGACTGGCGTGTTGATCCCCAGGGAGCTGGTGGTATTGTCCATCCAGCCTCCCGGAGCCTCCAACCCAAACACCAGCCCCAGGTGACAGAGGACAAGGGCCCATATGGCCGCACACACCCCCCAGGAATAGCGTGGCCTCCGGGCCGCTTGGTAGCCCAAGGGGAAGGCAGCCCCTAGGTAGCGGCCGACACTCAGGGCAGCCAGGAAGCCCCCGCCAGCATAGAGCGGAGCGAAGTGGGCCAGGGCAAAGGCAGGACAGAGTGGGGCCGGCAGAGGCCAGGCGCCCAAGGCCAGGGCCTCCACTGCCTTCAGGGGCAGAGAGGCTGCCAGCAGGAGGTCAGAGCAGCCCAGGTGGAGGGCATAGACAAGGCTGGGGGTGAGGCGGAGCCGGGCGTGGGACACGGCGCCCCCAATGGCCAGGGCATTGAGCGGGAAGCCCAGCGTAAAGGCAGCTGCGTAGAGAGCGAAGGAGAGCTGCGGGGGCAGGTCCATGGGGCCGGGGCTGGCCTCCACGCTCCTGAGCTCCACTCGCTCCCCACCCTTCGGCCTGGGGCGGGGTTGGGGAGGGGGTCAGGGGCTCCTGGGGTCACAGACTGCTCAGGGTATTAGAAACCATCTAGTGAGATACCAACTCTCTCAACCAGAGAGGCCCACTAGGGAGGTGGTGCCAGTGAGCAGGTGAGTCTGGGTTCGAAGTGAGGATGGCTAGCCCTCTGTCCTTTGCTTTCTTTCCACCATATCCTCTCTTAGAACACAACGGAAGCGGGCACGTCCCGTTAGAGGAAAGGCCTCCTGATTTCTGAGACTGGGGAGAGAAAGGGTAGAAAATTAGTGCAGAGTTGGGCCCCACGGTGTGTGTGTTTTTCCTAGGCCTGGAAGTTAGAGTACTGCGTCCACTCTCCTCCCCCAATTGCCTGGAAGGGAAACAGCTGCCCCCCTCCCCCCAACAGGGACAGCCGAAAGCCTGCAGAGCAGCTGGTGGAGGGTTGGTGGCAACTCCTAGCCAGGCGGGGGGAGAGGGATGTCAGAATTTGGGTAAGGTGGAGGCTGTGGCCAAGGGCAGGCGAAGGGGGGGGGGTGCCAGGGCAGAGCCCAAGGGTAAGCCAGGTCCCATCAGTGCCATAAGGAATGACCTTAACCAACTCCAGGGGGCACCCTAAGTGGGTAAGCTGAGGAGTTTGTGGGAATAATTGCCATGAAGAGAGGAGCCACAGAAAGAGGGACTCACCTCTTGGCGCTGCCTGCTGTCTCTGAGGCTCAGGAGTCCCCCTGGCTGGGCTGAGGGAGGGTGTCTGGGATGGGCAATGAGCTGGAAGAGAGAGGAGGGCGGGGTGGCAGGGCCATTAGCCTGAGCCATCAGTAGCCTGGGTGAGCAGCTAATGGGGCATCTCAAGCAGGAGCTGAGGCCAGGAGGTGAGGGTCCAAACAGATGATGCAAACACAGGAAGGGGACAGGGTAGCACTGAGGGTTTTTTCCTAGGCAGCGTGAGGAGTGTGTAGCTAGTCCCTTAAAGGAGCAGGGTTGTCAGGGGACGACCAGAACACAGCTCAATCCCACCCCACCCCAGCCTGTTCAGACCTGCTTCAGAGCCTGTGGGCAGGCCCTGGCCTTACGCGCTTGCTCATAGATAACACACTATGGTGGCCCACACCATGTCCATTTGGTGACTGATACATGTGGGATGATGAAGTCATCATTTCAAGGTGTTGTCTCTGCGACAGGCTGTGGGCACGTTTTGGGAGGAGAAGGTTTTCCCTCTCCTTTCCCCTCTGGCTCAAAGACAATAATTTCTGACCCTACCTTCTGGTGCTGGCAGGAGTGGGGAGGAGGACAGACAAGGGACGGGTCTCCTTTGGTGGGGCTGAAGTGCTGGGCTTCTCTCTGGGGCACTTGGAGGGACACTGAGCGGCTCTTCCTAAAGCACAGATGGTGCAAGACTACAGCTGGCTGCTTAGCTTTCTTCTCAGCCTCTGAGAAGTCAGCCGTTTACCTCCCTGCTGGGGTCACCCTGCCCCTCTAGGAAGACTTAAGTGAGATTTAAAATGGCCACAGGCTGTCTCTGTGATTCTGTCTCTCTCTCTCTGACTATGCCTGTGTCTGTCTGTCTGCCTGTCTGTCTCTGCCTCAAACAGACAACACAGCCTCTCTCTGGACTTCAGACTTCTCTGTTTTGGGGTGCATGTGTCGGTCATCAGGCCGCTATGTCCTTCCAAATTCCAAGTCATCCCGAACAAGCTTTGCTGGTGGTTTCCCGGAAGTGCTCCCCACCAGGCTTCCGGTGAGGGCAGCGTGGGATTCTCAGCATATCAACCATTGCCTCCAAAGAAATAATCAGATCCCCCTTTTCTACTTCAGTCGCTCAACTAATTCTTGGTTGCCTCCCTTCCCTGTCCTACCTATGTTGTCTAGCACCTCCCTTGGAGTGTAGAAGAACTTTCCATCTATTGTTTAGTATTTTATCTTTGAGAAACTGACAGAACCGAGGAAAAGTTAAAAGGAGGGCCATTTCACCTCCTGTAACCAGCATTTGGAAGAGGAGAAAAGCAGGGCGTGAAGGGAGACGTTGGATCTTCAAGATCCCTGCTTTGGTCCATGCTTCTGGCGGTTCAGGTCTCTGCCCAGTGTCACCTCCGCCGAGGGCCTTCCTCGAACCCTCTCCAAATGGGCCCCTCCCCTGCTCCAGTCTGCCTTCATCTTGCATGGTGTTTATTCCTAAGCACTCACGAGCCTGTGACATCAGATTTGCTGGCCCCTCTGCTAAAATGTTGGTCAGTGAGGCCCAAGATTTCTGTCTGCTTTGTTCTCTGCTTGTTGCATCCATAGTAGGGGCTCAGTAATTGAATGAACCGCCGGATGTCTGGGCCATGGGAGGACCGTGAGATCTGGGGCTGCATGGAGGGCTGCCTGGATTCTGGAGGCCCTGGCTTCAGAGTTGTTTGAACTCTGTTGGCCTGTTAACAGTCACATCTCTCGGTCAATTGGTCACGAAGTAGGTTTATGTTGGCAGCTGGGCTCGGACAGGATGGCAGGGCCCCTGCTGGTTGCCAGGGAGCCCGGGCCAGGCCTCACCAGGTTCAGGGCTGCCTTCAGGTCTTTAGAGGGGACCCTGCCCTAAAACCTTTTGGGCACCCTAGACTAGAGGTCACCAAGATGAGGATGATGTCATTCCTTTTTTGTACCCCAACAAATGTTCTATGCTGGATGCATTGACGTGTGCTTGGTAAGTGTTTGCTGAATAAACAGTTGAATGGGTGAATGATCCTGAACCTCATTCTTGAGACAGAAAGCCCAAACCCTTACCCTTTCCGTGAGACAGTTCTTGCTATCCCCCCTTCCTCCAGAAATGCTAACTTCACACTGGGGACAAAGTGGATTGGTGGGGAAATAAGTGCCACGCTCTGGCATAATTCCAAGGATGACCAGAACATCGTCTTCTCAGAAAGCAGATTCCGGTCTCGAGCAGATGGGAAGGGAGGGCAGGGAAGGAAGGTGGCACGTGTGGAGCGCCCACCACGGTCCAGGAACTTACATCCCCTTGCTGATGGACTAACCACGTGTTTCTGCTTCTAAGCATAGGTGGGGAAAGGTCAAACCTGAGATGTGGCGGGGAAGCTGGGAGGACCTAACTGGAAAGTCTGAGTTAGTGAACGTGACAGGGAACGGGTGATGTGACGGTAGGTGAGAGGAAAGCGGTGAGGTTTCTCAAGGCAGTTGGCTTTCGAGAAGTTCTTGGGCAACTGTGGGTTGTGACCGAACTTGGCAGCGGGACTTTTGAGAACGAATCGGCTTCCCCTTCTTATATTGTTCAAGAGCGGCAGACAAGATGGCAGTCTGGTTTTTAGGGACTTTTGGCTGTTTGTTTCAGGTTTCTGATAATGTGACTCCAGCATATGTACTACTGTCCCTCACTTCTCCTTTTTTTTTTTTTTAT